CTGGTGAGGCATATGGTGCTGGATGATGGCGAGATGATAGAAGGCCACTTTATGGACCCAGAAGCCACCGCGGAGATTGTTGACGATATCGAGGAAGGTGACGCTCCCGGTGTGTGCGCTGTCTGCGGGCAGATGGAACCACCAGGCTTTGGTAGTCAACAATTTTCAGGCAATACGGATGATTGTCAGGTAAACTTGCAACCCCATAATGCCACGTTTAGAATAAAAATTAACCTTGCTCTACGATAATCGCAAAGCTTCGTTGTCTTTTTTTATCTTATCTTCTTATCTTTTTTCATTCAATAGGTTGTTGACTGGGCTTTCTGTGACTACTGCAATCGATGGGTCCATCTGAACGACCAATGCAGCCGAGATGCCGTTATCGGGGACAATGCTTTCATGTGCGCACTTTGCCACTACGAAAGTGAAGACAAAGGTCAAGCTTTAGGCTCCGGAGAAATTGCCTGTTCTCTGGCTGATCCCTTCGTTCCTGTCTACTCTGCGACCTGATCATCCAGCTTCTGCACATGTTAGTATCATCTTCAAATGCACTCGGCAAAAGTTAAGTTACAGTGGCCTGACGTTGCCTGGGGTCGGTCCCTCCAAAGTTTACAGACTCCTCGTGCTTTCACTCAATAGGTCTTCTAAACAACGTTCCGATCACTGTGACGGTCTGTTGGAGATACTCAAATAGTGTATATATACAGAACCTGTTTACATTGTCTATTTTATTATCAGTCCAAATATGTGCTAGCCTTTCTGCCACAGATTCCCATCCGCAGTTGTCGCGACAAGCCAAGCAGTGCTACCAAGGTGCGTCACACTTTGTGCGAATGAGATTCCTGTTCGTTCCTATGCAGATCTTATGCACACAACACTACCACACATTATCTGCGGCAACGAATGTTTATATGAACGCTTTACAGTGTTTTGTTTCCCCTGCAACCAATCAAGATTTTCGATGGACTTGTTCAAATAGACGTACTCTTCGTCTGTCCTTTTTTTCCTCGTGTTCCTTTACGTTTTGTTTCACCGTGACACCAAAGTCCATACATATTTCGTGTCATAACCATTCATATGGAAAGTTACCAATCGTCGCTAACCTTTTGCACCACGCGAATATCTCTGGCAAGGATGCACTCATCGGTTGAAGCGATACCATACTTACACAAACCTGGGACTGGTTTAAATTCGGACTTGTTCGGCTATATGTATCTCCCTTAGGACTATCCAGTTCCGCCTTTTATCGGTTTATTCCTTGCATTTGGTGAGAATGGTGTTAGATTTTCCAGACTAACCTACACCGAATCACAAAACTGCAAGGTACCTGCGAGTGTTTCCTATATTATTTGCCTTACGGTCATTTCTTTCTAATGGAAGTTCGAGCTCGAGCGTTACCGCGTCTACTAGTTTGGAAGTGTCTAAGCCCCCTAGTATAACGCGTCTGTAGCAAGAACGCTGCTGCCGCGTGGTAGTATGGTGTGGCCGCAGAGAGCGTCCCGGTGCTCAACAATGCCATATGACGCTCTCGTCGGATATAATTCACCTTCAGTTTGTGCGTGGTCTCAGTGCCAGGCCGTTAATTATCAACACTTGGCAGCAGCTACCGAATTAGAGCGCTAGCTTCATGTGCATACTCTTGGACGCGTGCA